ATGAGGCAAAAGAAAAGAAAGTGATATCAGAAATGAGATATGAAACATTGGATTCTACATATAATCAAAGGATTAATAAAAAAGCATTTTAAATAATTTTATGAAAATAAATTTGAAAACTTCAATGAATTGGAAAAATTATTTAAAAGTACCAAACTCACTGCAGAAGAAACAGACAAATGGAATAGCTCTGTATGTATAAAAGAAGCTAAATTAGTATGGTACCACATTCCCACAAATAAAACCTCAGGCCTCAGATAAATTCCCTGGTACATTCTACAAAATGGTTCAGGAAGAAATAATACAGATTCTACACAAACTGTCAGAGAAAACTGAAGAGGACAAAATACTTCCCAACTTATTATTTGGGGTCAGCATTATACTGTTACCAAACCTAGGAAAAGACATGGCAAGAAAAGAAAACTACAGATCAGTATCTTGTGCAAAACAGCCTTATTTTTTTTTTCTTTTTGTTTGAGACAGAGTTTCACATTGTTGCCCAGGCTCTCAGAGAGTCATGGTGTCAGCCTAGCTCACAACAACCTCAAACTCTTGGGATCAAGTGAGCCCTGTGTCTCAGCCTCCCAAGTAATAGAGACTACAGGTACCAGACACAAAGCCTGGCTAAAGTTTCAAATTTTTAGTAGAGTCGGTATCTCACTTTTGCTCAGGCTGGAATCAAACTCCATTTTAGGCATGAGCCATTGCATCTGGCCAAAAAACCTTTAAAACAAAAAAAAATTTTTTTTTTGACACAGAGTCCCACTTTGTCACCCTTGGTAGAATGCTGTGGCGTCATAGCTCACAGCAACCTCAAACTCTTGGACTTAAGCAATTCCCTTGTCTCAGCCTCCCAAGTATGTAGAACTACAGGGCACCTGCCACAATGCCCACCTATTTCTTCGAGATGAGGTCTTGCTCTGGCTCAGGTTGGTCTTGAAGCCATGAGCTCAGGCAATCTTCCCACCTTGGCATCCCAAGTACTAGGATTACAGGTGTGAGCCACTACACCTGGCCCTCCTTAAAATTTTTTCAAGCAATCACACACAAGAACATACAAAGATAACAATACCTCATGACCATGTGGAATGCAAAGTTCCACATTTGAAAATCAACCAATGTAATTCATTATATTAACAGATTAAAATAATTAAAACCATATAATCATCTAAATGATGCATAGAAAGCACTGGGGGAAAAATAACAATTCAAAATGAAGATCCTGGAGGGCGAGGGGGGAGACGAGAGGAGATGGGTATGCTCCCACTTAAGTGGCACAACGTAAGGGTATATGGCACACCACTACAAGAGGGACTCTACCTAACAAATACAAACACCGCAACCTAGTTGTTTGCATCCTCACATTAATCTGAAATTTTAAAGACAAATAAAGATCTTAACAAACTAGAAACAGAAAGGAACTTCTTTCTAGTTTCTCACCTGAGAAAGAGTATCACTGAAAATCTTAGCATCACATTTAACGTTGACTAAATCCTTTCTTTCTGAGACTATATATAAAGCAAGAATGTTCCCTTTACAATATACACTTTACTGGGGATGTTATCAGTGTAATAAGGCAAAGAGAAGGACCAGCCAGATTGGAAAAAGAAATAAAATTTTTTATTTGCAGAATACATGATCACCTATATAGAAAAACACTAAGAACTATCCAAAAATTACTAAAACTAATAAATAAGGTTAGAAGAGTCAAATGATATACAAATATAGTTGTATTTCTAAATTTTAACAATTACAAAGTTGTTAAAATGGCATCTATATTGGCACCAAAATATATGAAAAAGTGATAAATTTAAGGTAAGATTTGCTAGAACTGCACACTAAAATCTACATACCATTTGTAAGAAAAAAATGTAAAAGACTTAAATAAACAGGAATATATATCATGATGTAGATCATAAGACTCAATAATAAGCTGCAAATTTATCCCATATTGATCTGTATAATTCTCATACAAATCTTAAGAGTCAATTTTTATAAGCTGATCATGAAATATCTATAGAAATGCAAAGAGCCTAGAATAACCAAGACTGTTTCAATAAACAGCATCAGAGGAGTTACACTACTATGATCAAAAGCCATGTTGCACTGATATAAACATAGATATGCAAAACATGAAACAAAACAGAGCCCAGAAATAGTGTTAGTAGTATACAACCAAATTATTTTCAACAGAAATGCCCAAGAAGTCAATATGCAGCAAATAAGTTTTAGAGACATATGCCAAGAAATGAACATCAAGATAACCCACACCATATACAAAAATTAACTCAAAATGAACTAGTAAAACTTCTAAAATAAAATATAGAAGGAAATACTTCTGACTTTGGGTTAAGCAACACATTTTTTTCTTTTTTTTGAGACAGAGTCTCACTTTGTAGCCCTTGGTAGAGTGCCGTGATATCACAGCTCACAGCAACCTCAAGCTCTTGGATTTGAGCAATTCTTTTGCCTCAGCCTCCCAAGTAGCTGGGACTACAGGCACCCACCATGATTCCCAGCTATATTTAGAGAGGAGGTCTTGCTCTGACTCAGGCAACCCAACCGCCCCGGCTTACCAGAGCGCTAGGAGTACAGGCTCAAAGGGACTACAGGTGCCCAGTGAGCCACTGTGCCTAGCCCAAGCAACACTTTAAGCCAAAAGAAGCTACAATTTAAAGTTTTGATAAATTAGATTATATCAAAATTAAAAATTTTGTCCTTTGTAAGGCACTGCTAAGAAAACAAAATAAAAAAGCATAAGCCAAATACTCAGGAAAAACATCTATAAAACATACATCTAAGAAAGGACTTTGAATCCAGAATATATAAAGAAACTTTCTGACTCAATAAAAGGACAAGAAATACAATAAACACAAAGGGAAAAAATATGGATAAACACATAACAAAAAAAAAGTTCTGCAGATGGTAGATAAGCATGTGAAAATGTGGTCAACTATGATCTGAATGTATATCCCCAAATTAATACTGAACCTTATCATCAGTGTGATGGTATCAGAAAGTGGGTCATTGGGAAGTGATGCCCCAAAGGGCATAATGAATGAGATTAATGCCCTTAATAAAAGGAGTTCAGAGAATTCTTTGCCTCTTTTCACTATGTCAGAACACAGTAAAAAAGCATCATCTATGAACCAGGAAATAGACCCCTCATCAGATATTGAATTCTGCTAGCGGCTTGATCTTGGACTTCCCAGCCTCCAGAACCACGAGAAATAAATTTCTATTGTTATAAGTTACCTAGTCTGCAGTATTTTGTTATAGCATCCTGAACAGACTAAGAAAGCATCATTGGTTTTTAGGCTAGATAATAGAAGAATGTAAAAACTACCACACACCTAACATCCATTTTAGAACAACTAAAATTAAAATGACTGACAATATCATGAATTGAGAAAAATGCAGTACAACTGGAACTATTACACATTACTGAGGGAAATGCAAAATGCTTTATCCAGTTTGTAAAATTGTTTTGCAGTTTCTGTAAAGTTAAACATACATTTACCAAATAATTAAGCAATTCCACTTACATATTTATATAAGCAAATGAACATGTCTACAAAGTGACTTGAATGTAAATAATCATAGTAGCTTTATTCATAATAATCCAAAGTTCTACCAACCAAGTTGTTCCTCAACTGGGGAATGGATAAAGAATTATGGTATATATCTACATAATGGAATACTATTCAACAATAAAAAGGAAATGGACTACGAGATACGCAACAACACAATTGATAATTACACTGATATAAAAGAACACAAATGTTATGATTGTAGTTTTATGAAAACCTAGAAGGAGCAAAATATAACAATAAAATGTAGATTATTAGTTGCCAGGAGCCAGGGAGTGGGAGCAGCAGATTAACTGCAAAAATACACAAGAAAAATCTGGGGGAAGATGGAAATGTTCTATATCTTAATTGTGATGACGGTTATATGAATGTAAACATTTGGCAAACTTCATAGAATTCTATGTTTAAAATTGGTGAATTTTACTGCATATAAATTATATCTCAATAAAGGTGACTAGAAATAAACCTAATGCAGGGAGATACACAATATTTCTTCTCTCCTAAGATTAGCAGTGTGATTCACAAGTAAATGGAGTAAATCAGTCCTAAATAAACCATCTGCTTAAATTGTGTTTAGCTACAAATGAAGACCCCTTTTGTGGTGAGTCTTAAATTGCATACTTCATTTGAAAGAAGTAGGGAGGCAAATAAAGTAGTACTTTATTCAAGTACTACTTGAATACAGTACAAGTACATTTGGGGGCCCAGTGACTAAATAACATTCAGCATATAGTAGGTACTTTTTTAGTAAATGGTTGTGAATAAAACAATCATTTACTAAATGAACAAACTTAACCCTTTTAAAAAGGCCTAGGTATATTCAAGGTTCTTATACAAAGTATTTAGACAAACATGCCTAAGACTTGGACTTCCCAGCATATTTCATTGTTTAGCCTTATGCTATGCCATTATTTCATGACATACATAAATTAAGAAAAAGCTTTGTAAATCATATTTGCATAATCAGTGCTTTAATTCATGAAGCTCATATTTCATCAGTCATTAAGTACAATAAAGAAAAGTTGAAAATTCTTTGAATTTTTCTATTTTTTATTAGGAATTAAAATAATCCTAAAATCATAAACCAAAATTTTTAACATCAATTGTTTTCCACGTTCTATACAGGAAAAATTTAGAGTTTTGCAGATATTTGAATTATGGAGAATTGACTTATCCTTTTGGAGAGTTTTATTCAACTCTAATCAGAAAAATAGGTAAAAAATTTGTTTACTGATTATAAAACTCATTATATATGGCTAAGAGATTCTAGATTAAACACATAGAAGAAATAACTAGTTTTAAGATAATAAAAAATATTTTGTAAACTAATTAAGCAAAACATTTTGACATCAAATTTTAAAGTAATTGAAGAGCTTTCAAGTAAATTTTCAAAATAAATAATAAACTTACAGTTTGTTGCCGTATGGAATTGAGAAGAAAGTGAATGAGTAACTGAATTCCAAAACGTGTAGAAAATTTCAGGTTGTCCATCCTGTGAACCAAAAAAAGAATATATATATTTTAAGAAATTATAATGGTTGGCTCGGCACCTGTAGCACAGTGGTTACGGCGCCAGGCACATACACCAAGGCTGGCAGATTTGAATCTGGCCGGGGCTTCCTGAAGAACAATGACAACTGCAACAAAAAATAGCCAGGTATTGTGGTAGGCGCCTGTAGTCCCAGCTACTTGGGAGGCTGAGGCAAGAGAATCACTTAAACCCAAGAGTTTGAGGTTGCTGTGAGCTGTGATCCACAGCACTCTACCAAGGGCAACATAATGGGACTCTGTCTCAAAAAAAAAAGAAAAGAAATTATAATCGTTAAGATGTAACACTGAGAATTTACTTAAAATTTAAATGGCATTGTTAGATATTTAATTATCAAACAACAGAACTGTTAAATAACTAAGTGGAAATGTATAGACAAATCAAATTATATCTCAGTCAAGTAATGAGTCATTATTTTGCTCTGCCAATTAACAGTTGTGCCCTTGTTATTTACCTGTAAAATGAAGATGATGATAGTATCTACTCTGAAGAATTATTATGAGGACTAAACAAATTATAAGTATTTTAGAACAATGCCTGACATATAACAAACCTTCAATGATGTCAGTTATTATCATTATAATTGTTACTAACATCATGGTCCTTTGATATACAGAAGGCAATTTATGTGACTCTAACAAAATGATGGACAAACCACACTTAGACTCAGGATGACTAACAGGAAATAAGTCACCATTACAAAAAAGAGGGGCTGACGCTTATAGTTTTTAAAAAAAAAAGAAAAAGAAATAGTAATTGTTACTACTCAGTTTAGCTTGACACGTCCATTCAAATTTGAATATATGTTTTAGAAAGTAATCACTAAGAAGGCAACTATTAGTGAAAATATCATTGGTGAAAAACAAAGCACTTTTTTTTTCCTGAGACATAGTCTCACTTTATTGCCCTCGGTAGAGTGCTGTGGCATCACAGCTCACAGCAACCTCCAGCTCCTGGGCTTAGGCAAGTCCCCTACCTCAGCCTCCTGAGTAGCTAGGACTACAGAAGGCCACCACAACGCCTGGCTATTTTTTTGTTGCAGTTTGGCCAGAGCTGGGTTCGAATCCGCCACCCCCAGTATATGGGGCCGGCACCCTACCCACTGAGCCACAGGCGCTGCCCCAAAACAAAGCACTTTAATACTGTTAAAATGGAATCACATTATTAGAAATTCTGCCAAATACTTTAAGGTATGTCTACATGTATGCTATACAATATGAAATTGCTGATATTCTACTATTTTTTTTCAGTACAAAAATGCCAATGGTTAAAAGCAACAGTATAAATAAAATATATCTAATATTCAAATATTATTACTATCCTAAAAATAAAATTTCTAATTCTGGATAAGTAAACAAAATAACTATTGAGAAATACTGATTGTGACTTTTATACCTATGCTTCATTATTATCTGTTTCTTTCTTAAGTCTATGGTTGTGAATTTACTACTCCAGTGAGAATTATATATCATAAAAAAGGCAAATCAAATCATTGTTGATTGTGTATGCAATCTTCAGAAAATATATTCAGATTCCCAAAATTTTATGTATTACATCTTGTGTATTTCAGTTTAAATAAAGTAGATGTTTTCCCTCACATTAAAAAAGCATCATAAGGGTGGCGCCTGTGGCTCAAAGGAGTAGGGTGCTGGCCCCATATACCAGAGCTGGTGGGTTCAAACCCGGCCCCGGCCAAAAACTACAAAAAAAAAAAAAAAAAAGAAAATCATAATACATCTCATTAACAGAATGAAGGACAAAAACCACACGATCATCTCAATACAGAAAAAACACTTGACAAAATTCAACACTTTCTCATGATGAAAATTTTCAACAAAATAAAACTTGAAGGAAATTATAACATAACAAAGACCATATATGCAAAACCCACGGCTAACATCATATTCCATCGTGCAAAACTGAAAACACTTCCCTAAGATCAGGAACAAGGCCAGGATGCCCACTCTTGCCACTTCTGTACAATATAGTACTGGGAGTTCTGCCAGAAGAATCAAGCAAGAAAAAGAAATAAAAGGCATCCAAATTGGAAAGGAAGAAGTAAAATTATCTCTGTTTGTAGATTACATGATCTTGTATGAGGAAAACTCTAAAGAGCCAGTAAAAAAACCTTTGTTGAACTATAAGAATAATAATAAAGCTAAGCTGTAGCTACAAAATCGACACACAAAAATTAGTTGTGCTTCTACACAATAAAAATGAACAATCTGAAAAGGAAATGAAGAAAACTATTCCATTTACAACAGCATCCAAAAGAATAAAATAGTTAGGAATAAAACTATCTAAGAAGAGCAAAAACTTGTATATCAAAAACTATAAAATATTGCTGAAAGAAATTAAATGACAGAAATAAATGGAAAGACATCCAATGTACTAATGATTAGAAAACTTAATATTGTCAAAATGTCCATATTCCGCTATGTGATCCATAGATTCAATGTAATCTCTATCAAAATCTCAATGGTATTTTTGCAAAAATAGGAAAAAAAGAATCTAAAATCTAGATGGAATCTCAAGGGACTCCAGATATGCAAATATCTTTCTTGAGAAAGAAAAACAAAGCTTTACACTTCCTGACTTCTGAGCATTTTACAGAGCAGGGAATGGTGGCATGTGCCTATAATCTCAGCTGCTTAGGAATGTGAGCAGGAAGATTACTAGAACCCAGAAGTTCAAAACCAGACTGCGCAATACAGTGAGATCCCATCTCTAAAAAAAGAAAAAATAGATATATTACAAAGCTTCAGTAACTGAAAAGTATGATAAGAGCATAAAGACAGACACATGGGCCAATGACAGAGAATAGAGCACAGAATAGAGTCCACACTCAAGTACATGGTCAAATAATCTTCAACAAGGGTGCCAAAGCTACACAATGATGAAAGGACAGTTTCTTCAATAAATGCTGGAAAAACTGGATATACACACGCAAAAGAATGAAGCTGAACCCCTACCTTACATCATGTATAAAAAATAACTCAAAATGGATTAAAGAACTGAAGCTATAATCCCTAGAAGAAAACACAGGGGAAAAGATGCATGACAACGGATTTGTCAATAATTCTTGTCTACGACATAAAGAGCACAGGCAATAAAAACAAAAGTAGACAAATCAGACTACATCAAACTTGGAAACTTCTGCACAGTAAAGAAAACAATCAACAGAGCAAAAAAACAACCTGTAGAATGGGAGAATAGATTTGCTAGCCATATGCAGGTGTCCTGAAACCACAGCCTGCAGGCCACATGTGGCCCGCCTAGCACATTTATTGGGCTCGCAGGTGTTTTTGCTGCCGCTGCCTGTCCTGCTTAGCAGCCAACTCATCCTGAGGCCCACAGTCCAGCCCTCCAACAGTCTGAGGGACAGTGAACTGGCCCCCTGTTCAAAAAGTTTGAGGATCCCTGGCCATATGTCTGATAAAGAGTCAATATCCACAATATATAAAGCACTCCTGCAACTAAAAAATAAAAATAAAAATTATAAAAAAGGACTAAAATAGAATATTTCTCCAAAGAAAATATATGAATGGCCGGTAAGCACATGAAAAGATGCTCAACACCACTAATCATCTAAGAAATGCAAATCAAAACCACAATATGAGATACCACCCCACACTCACCAGAATGCCTAACATCAAAACTCAGAAAACAAGTGTTCATGAGGACAGAGAGAAACTGGGACCTTTGTGCACTGTTGGAGGGAATGTATAGGTACAACCACTATGGAAAACATTAGAGAGGTTCCTCAAAAAAATTAAAAATAGAAATTACCATATGACCCAGCAAGCGCACATCTGGGTATACACCTGAAAGAACTGAAAGCAGGATCTTGAATATTTATTTATACACCCATCCTTACTGAAGCATTATTCACGATAGTCAAGAGGTAGAAACAACCTAAATGTCTATGGAAGAATGAATGGGTAAAGAAAACGTAGTACATAGAGTCCTGTCATACATTGCTTAATGTATGGATACATTGCATAATGAGGGAAAAGTGTTCCAAGAAAGGGGTGATTAGGCTATTTTGTCATTATGCAAAGGGATGGGGAAGCTATAGCTTTCTGAGAATTATAATCTATGTAACAACTGTCATAAATATGGCTTGTCATAGACTGAAATGCCATTATACATACAACGGAATACTACCCAGCCTTAAAAAAAAAGGTAATCCTGTCGTATGCTACAACATGTATGAACCTTGAGGACATTATGCTAAGTGAAATAAGCCAGTCACGAAAAGGTAAGTACTCCGTGATTCTACTTATATCAAGTATCTGTACTAGCCAAACTCTTGGAGGCAGAAAAGGGTGAGTGCCAGGGGTCAGGGAGGAAGACAAAGGGGAGTTGTTCAATGGGTATAGTTTCAGTTTTCCAAAATGAAAAGGTTGTAAAAATCTGTTGTACAAGACGCATACAATTAACACTGGGATACTGTGGACTTACAGTTAAATGCTTAGGATGGTAAATTTTATGAAGTGCTTTTTACCGTAGTAATAAAAAGGACTTTATGGCTCGGCGCCTATAGCTCAGCCGGCTAAGGCGCCAGCCACGTACACCTAAGGTGGCGGGTTCGAATCCCCAGCCCGGGCCCGCCAAACAACAATGATGGCTGCAACCAAAAAATAGCCAGGCATTGTGGCGGGCGCCTGTGGTCCCAGCTACTTGGGAGGCTGAGGCAGGAGACTCGCTTGAGCCCAGGAGTTGGAGGTTGCTGTGAGCTGTAATGCCATGGCACTCTGACCAGGGGGACAGCTTGAGGCTCTGTCTCAAAAAAAAAAAAGGACTTTATGCTTAGTTTCTATGAACTTTAAACCATAAAAAAACTGAGTACTCAGTTTATTTATTGCCTTTTACATGTACACACTGAGATAAATGATGGTGTAGATTTCCTTACTGGACATGCTGGGATATTAATTTACTAATTTCCTAATATTAAATGATCCTTATATTGCTAACATAAATCCTAGTTATTAGGTAGATAATTCAGATAACTATTTTAACACACTACTGAAATCAATTTCTTTTCAAATTTGAGAATTTTTGTTAGTTGTATTACTAAGCAAGAATGACCCAAGTTTTCTCTTTTGAGCGTATGCATGCATTTAGTTCGATGTATGTAAGCATATAGTTGTTTATTTTGGAAGTAGGGATATAAATGCTTCATAGAAAGAATTATTTACTTCTTTTAAATTAAAAAAATATTTTTACATATATTTTTGGAATTATCAAAGCCTGAAATATTTTTCCTCCACAAAGCTCTTAAAGAGTTTCCCTAGTTAAAAGGATTATTTTAAGACAGTTTCACTAGATTGCCCTTGGGAGAGTGACGTGGCATCACAGCTCACAGCAACCTCAAACTCTTGGGCTTAAGCAATTCTCTTGCCCCAACCTCCCAAGTAGCTGGGACTACAAGTGCCCACCACAATGCCTAGCTATTTTTTGTTGCAGTTGTCCTTGCTCAGCTGGCCCAGGGCCGGGTTTAAACCCGCCACTTTTGGTATATGTGGCTGGTGCCATAACCACTGTACTACAGGTGTCAAGCCAACCAAAAACATTTTTTAGTAAATGAAAAACAAATTTTAATTAAATATTATTTTATTCAGGTATTTTATTTCTTGAGTTAATTACACGAGGTGTCTCTAAAAGTCCCTAAAGTTGCCATATATAGGGAAAATCAGAAACTGTAGCTAAATGTACCTATATTTACAAAATATCTATGACAAAATATTTACAAAAATATTCTCTACATGTTGGCCACCTCTTCATAAAATATTCCCTACACATTGGCCACCTCTTCATAAAATATTCTGTACATGTTGGCCATCTCTCTTTTTTTTTTCTTTTGAGACAGAGTCTTACGTGGTCATTCTTGGTAGAGTGCCATGGTGTCTTAGCTTATAGTAACCTCACACACTGTTGGGTTCAAGTGATTCTTTGCCTCAGCCTCCCAAGAAGCTGGGACTATGGGCACCAGCCACAAGGCCAGGCAATTTTTAGAGACAGGGTCTCACTCTGGCTCAGGCTGGTCTCGAACCTGTGAGCTCAGGCAATCCACTGGCATAGGCCTCCCGATCGCTGGGATTACAGGCGTGAGCCAGCTTGGCCACTTCTTTGTAAAATACTCTCTACATGTTGGGCACCTCTTTGTGAAATATCTTCTGTGTGGGACACTTGCTTGTAAAATTCTGTCATGAATATTTTGCAAATAAAGGTAGGTTTAGCTATAATTTCCCATTTCTCTGTATATGGTGACTTTAGGGGTGATTTTTAAAAAGGAACACCCTGGTATATTTCTTGACAATCAGTCTGAATTTCAAATTTAGTAAAAGAAAGTTTGTGACTCTCTGTACTCGACATACCTTATTTTTCTTGTTTATCTGCTATTTATTAATAGTGTCACTTTCATTTGAGAAATGTTTGGCAGTGTTTGCTTTTTAATGTGACTCTTAAAATAACATATTTTAATTCTATTTTTAAACACAATTTTTGTCCTTAATAAGGTATTATTATTATAACCCAAATTTATTTAATAGGTTGTTCTTGCTTTTATCATCTCATCTTATGCTTTCTTTGTTCCTTTTGTTTTCTGCGTTTGTTCTGTGGATTACTTTTATTTGCTTTCATCTTTCCTAGTGGTTTGAGTACTATATATTCTGATTTTAATTGTATCAAAGATTACATTTGAGGTTTTTTCCCAAACAGTTTTAATCTCACATGACCTCATATTTCTCACTTTTCAAAGGCAAAAATGAAAATATATCTTCTGAGAATACTATTAAGAGTCTTACAGCACTAATTTAGAATCTTAATTTATCCAACGTTCTAAACGTCATGAATTGTAAATTAAATAAAAACAACAGAAAGATGTGAATATACTGTAATATAATTACATTTTTAAAGTAAGTACCAGCTGTGAAAGGTAAGCCTTTAGATTAAACTTAAGCATTACCACTTTATAGTACTGGCATATTAATTTAAGATAGACTAAGAATACCAGCTAATAATTGGTAAGGCAACAGAATAATCAGCACTGGTACAATTTATTAAGGAAGTGATGACTGTATAACTTGGATCATACTGTATAGTTATCTCTAAGATTTAATAATAATATTAAATCAGATATCATTACACATAGCACTTTTTAAAATAAATCTTTGTAACTGTATATTTATTTTTTGCTAAGCAATTTGGGCAAAGGAACATTGTATGTCTTAAATTTTACATTTAGATCCATCTGGATAGTCAAAGTCTCCTCTTCATTTGGACTGAATTGATATAGAAGCAACTGTATCAACTAAAAAAGATGGAGGATTGGAAAGTCTGTTTGTGGTCAACATTCTTTTCTATTCAGATTTATGTTTTAAGTGCTTATTTTCATGTGCAGACCAAACCAATTAACGACTTCATGTTAGCAAGGTTCCAACAAGCATTCTCCCCACAACTCCCTTAACATGAGGGCACACACAATTAGGCCACATCGTTTGCATTTGTAAGGCAAATTTTAAGTTGCAGCTACTGAATGTGGCTTAACTGCTTATTTCTGAAAATAATCAAATCTACATTAAATATACCCCTGTTTTGCCAAGTATAAGTGACTACTCAAATGCTGTGCATATCATTAAGCTCTGTACAAACTATTATCACAGCTTTTATAGCATTTTCTTGTATTTCTCTTGGATGCATCATATCTATTCCTACAATTAATGATAAATTAGTTTGAGGCATGTCATCTTTATAACCCCATAGATTTAACAAAATAGGTTTTTAGAAATAAGAGGAATTTTTCAAGGCTTTTAAGAATTGCCAAAGAAGAAAATTTTAAATCTTAGACGTACCCTTTTTGAAAGAAAACACTGACTGCCAGATAATCTGGCTATTTCTTCCATCTTACAGCAACCAA